TAGTTTAATCTTAAGAAATAAAACCAAAAAATTCTACCTGGAAGCCTGGTACTAGCGGTATGACAACAATGACTCTGAAACATTTCTGTTCCTTGTATGCTTTCACAATACGCTTGTATAATGCTTCCAAGACACGGTTCTGTATAACTTCGTCTCCTGAAAGACCTGAAATGAAAAATTGGTTCTAGAAGAAAGACACCAATAATAATAGCACAGATGGTCAGCAGAAGACCTGGAAATTAACTTTCAAATTCAATGTTCAAGTATAAATATATCGGCTTTTCTGAGGTCCATTAAAGCTTTCAATATCAGTTAGTGATACTATGCAAGAGCTTCATTGAGGACTTCCATGATAAGAAACTAAAAGTTAATTCAACAACCAGCTCCTAGGGAGAAGAAAAAAGTTTCATTAACTATTGTTCTCTTACCTCAATGTAAATAAAATGTTGTGCATTCTCAATGAGAGAACAATAAGTACTATGAATGCTTTCTTCAGTTTGACTTGTTCCTGCAGACCACTGGCTGACACTTCTGATAATCTACACATGACATAGTCATTCATTAAGAAAGCAAATGAAAATTACTGAAGAAACCAAAATTGGAGTTACCAACACCAAAAGGATTTAGTCTGAGAAGTTGAATAAAGAAAGAAAATCCAGAGGTGTAGCTAACCTGACAGCGGCACGCAATACGTGGACCAACTTGTTCGTATTCGCCAGCAGGAACATCGTGATTGCCTTCCTCAGGGGTTTCCCACCACTCATCTGATACTTTGAAACAAAGCTCTGGGACAGAATCTAAGTTCAATTTTTTCTGAAGATCCATAGAGTCAAGATCCTCCAGAACTCCTACAATCTGCATATCTGGAGAGAAAGCTTCAGGTTTGTACTTCTGGGAAGATAAGGTACAACATCCATTGATCTCAGATGACTTATGATTATGATTATTGGAATGCAGGCCATTTAGCTTTTGGTCCATGGTGGAAGTGACTAGTTTATCAGCTTCTTGAGGCAAAAGCAAAGGGATATCTTCCCATGGTGATCGCGAGGAAAACGAATCCTGTCTGCTTAAATCTTTCTGATTCTTATCTGTGTCCTTGCTTGCAATGTCTATCTCTCGGCTTCCCATGTAGTGAGGGATAACCATGTGGTGGTGAGGAATGAGGAGTGGAATTGCTTGTTCATGTGGAGCTTTGTTTCTCTGAAATATGATAAAACTAATATCAGAAGATAACTTCAGCAAAGAAAAGAAAACAAGTGACAAAAGATCAACCTTAGCATGGTTCCAGCGTTGAACAAAATGCCTTGCAACATCTCGACAAGGTGGCCCCCAAAGAGCACAATGAATATCATGCCATGGCATACGGGGATATTGTTCGCGATCAAGTTCATCTTTCATTGTATCCTCCCAAGAATTTGGTTCAGATTCTCTATCCAAACAAAATTTATTTAACATCAAAGTTCTTAAAACCAAAACTCATTCTTGGTTCAGATTTTCTGGCATAAAGAGAGAAAAAACACCTTGGATTGTAATAGTCCTTTCCAGGCCACATGAAAGGAGGGCAGTCCCTCACTCTGTGTTCAGGTGTGTCATAACGGCCGAAGCATAAATCCAGTCCTCCAATGAAGCAAGTGCGGTAATCAATAATGACAAGTTTTTCATGGTGTGACCTGCAAGGAACCAGAGGTAATCAGTGATCATAAGCAAGAAAAATAAACCAAAAGGAAAATGATTTGTTCAAATTGCCTAAAAACAATACCATAAATAAACACCGGTTGATAAATGGTCAGGATAGCGCAGCACTCTGACATTTTCATGAATTTGAAGGAGCTTCTTCTTACTGTACATACTGTTAATTTTTAAAGCAATAGAAACCTCCTTATACAGAAGAATGTATATCTGCATAACCATTGACATAAATTAAAGTTAAAAATTTACTAGATTTAGAAACATAGACAAAATGCTAAGAAAATTTTTATGTTGTTGTTCACCTGAACACCTTGCTTGGCTTTTGCTTCTATCAGTGCATCTAGCCGGGAGGAAGAATGCTTGCGAAAAGGGCGTCTCATATACAGCTCAGGGCAAAGCCACCAGCCAGTAATGAAGATCTGCTTGAAGTTTAATCATTAAGCATTACAATTAATAAACGATTGCGAATGTTCAATACATTTTGTCTTAGAAAGGGAAGAATTAACCTCTGATTTTGCATCCTCTATTGCAGAAGCAATTGCTTCAAAAGCTGCTTGACCATCTATAAACCACTGAGCTTGACTTCCATCTTCAGTCAAACCCCTTGGAGGAGCAAAGGAACCAAAACGGTGAGGGTGACACCACCCCTCATGAGGTCTTAAACCAGCGTCATTGATTGCACCAATCCATTCTTTAACTTTACCATTACTTGTAGTCCTCAAATCTATTGTCCGATTTCCACAAGAGACCTTTCAACATTTCCAAATGTTATAGTTGTTATTAAACAGAAATCAAGGGGCCTAAAGAAACTCCAGAAGGATATTATTGGTAAAGCCAACTGACCTTAAATGCGTAGCACAGAGGATTGGATTCTTTTATTTGCTTTGCTAGATATACTCCTGACCCTTCATTGCCATTAGTGGTGGGAAGAACATCAAAAACGATTATGTCTAGGAGTTTGGTGCTTAAAGGCTCTTCCAGCAAGGCCAAGAAACCAGGTTTCAGAACAGCCCAGACCTGCAAAAAGGGCATAAGAAAGGAACATATAAACAATAGATGACCTTAATCGACATTGTAAGTGTAAAGATAAGCAATCAAAATTTCTGGGATTGAAAATTCTATTACCTTATGCCAAGTGTTGCTGCAACCAAAGCAACAGCCTGGAAACCATGTTGCATCAGTCTCATCCCTGGAGTTTTTTGGTAAATGCTTCACCATAACGTAGCCCTCTTTCAACTTTGGACCATATTCTTGTGCAAATGACAACCTCGAGACCTCCAAGAATTTGCATACCTGAAATTCAAAACCTCTTGGTGTGAAGGATAGTTTTTTCTCTAATTTCAGCAAAAGTAGAAAAAAAACTCTTTTTATGCTCACCTCTCTCGAATTCACGATATCCATGTTTCCCAGGAAATGATTCAAATAACCTTGCATTGCTACCTTTGCTTTCTCTGAAATTGTAGGTTGACGTCCAAGTGATGGGCGAAGAATCGGCAAAGCAGCACTAGAAGGGACATTCCTGCATAGCAAAATTTTGTAAGCACTACAAATGCAGTGGTGTAAAGGGCTTTATTTGATGATTCCCTTGACAGTAAAGGAGATGTTTAACTAGAAGTCTAGAACTCACCTATTTCTAACACTTTCACTTTGATGCACAGGCACAGCTCCATCATCAGGTTCATCAGCATCTTGAACAACTGCGACATGGTCAACTATTCCTAAGCTTTGAAGCCATTCTTTAACCTACCAAGCAACATTAATCCAATGAAATCGAACAACAGTTTTAGAAAGTGAGTCAGAAAACAGAATTACAAGAACCATCATTTATCACTTGGACTAATTAAATGCGTGCAGACATAGCATTGATCAAAGGCAAACCTGCTCTTGTTTCTCATGAAGTTCATCAATAATTGCACGTTTCTGTACAGCGAAATGAAGATAGAGAACTTGTGAAGCTTTCTTCCTCAGACGCCACTTGAACTGTCAAACAAAACTACAATCAATAATACTTGAACATTTCTTGCTGCATGTCCAAAGCACGTAATAATAATACATAATCCTAAATCTTCTCTTGATTCTCAAGACAACACACATTTAGAATAAAAGGCATCCAACAAAGGAACTGGAAGAACAACAACTAGACTCTCACTCACTCACTAAAGTACTAAGAAAATGCCATCTTCTTCATGATCATACCAAATTCTAAAACTTGGCCTGGCAAGCGCCTGATCCTAACAATCAATGATTTGATTCCAACCTCAGTTAGTTTGTGCTAGACAAAAACAAGTAAAATGTTTTACATTATTTCTATGTTATTCAATCTATTCAAAACATGAAAAATACAAAATTCTAGTTCTTCTAATCTCCATTTCTTCCGATTTCTCTCCAAACAAGCCAAAAACACCCTTCATCAACAGCGCCTATACGCCTAATGGACTCACAAATTCAACATTTCCGTACCGTTTAATTTCAGAAATGGAAAAATACCCACCACCAAAATAGAAGAAAAAACCAATCTTCATCCTTTCCCCTCAATGTTTTTTTTCTAAAATCCAAATTTAAGCAAAAGAAAGAAGCAGGAAGGAAAAAATCAGGAACCTGTTTGTACTGTAACTCAATGGTGTAAGACAAAAGCATGGGACTAATATCACTGGTGTCCGGTCTCGAAACCGAAACTATCGTCGCCTTCGGCAACTCTTCGAAAATCCATTCATGTTCTGCGCCATGTATTGATGAATTGTTGCGTGGCAACGTTGACACAACCCTTGGTTGCATTTTATCATCATCAGACCGCAATCTGTCCACAATGAGCCTATCCGTTGACATAGAAAAACTCTTGGTTGAAGCCTTTCAAACTCACTGTAGAGTCGCTTTAGCATGTCCGTGTTTGGAGAGATAGAGAGAAAGAGAGAAGGTTTTGGTTCCGTGAAGAGGATTTTGCAGAGAGAAGAAGGTAGTTTTTTAGTTAAAATGAGTGTTTTAAGTTTTTGTAAGTACCGGGAAGTTAAAGAAAGGTGACAAAGCCATTGTCTTACGGAAGTGACATGGGTTTTTCATGAAACTGAGTTTTGGTGAGAACACGTGGTGGTGTGGGTAGGGTTTGGGTTGCTTGATTACACATGGCACTTGTCAAAGGTGGTTGTATAAATTTTGTGTGAGTTTTTTTTTTTAATCATAGGGCTGTTGAAATTTCACATTTCTTGTTTTCTTTTGCCAAGTAAAAGCTTATGTGATAGAACACAAACTTAATATTTTATAGACAAATAATGTGAAATTCCTATTTTACCCTTGTGAAATTATTTGATATTGAATTAAATTATGCTTTCCTTTAGCTTAAATTAATGATCCTTGATCAAAAATCATATTACCCACAAGATTATATTAAACTAATAATAGAGGTGTGATCAAGTGTCCTTCAACTATCAAATCTTTCTTCATTTTTAATTTATATAATTTTGGCCCTTTAAATCAAAATTTCAAACCTATGAGGGTAATTTAGTCAATTCTAATGTGTCCATGAGCATGGCATAATCCAACAATAGAATCACTTACAAGAATATCCTTCTTTATGTTATGTGCTTCCAAGCACCAAAGAATATGCTGACAAAGAATGATTACTATAGTACAAGGTACAACTTACAAATCCTAATCAGGGTAAGATTAATTTAATTAATTAAAATATTAATTGGAATATGGCATAAAGTTAACACTAATTATTCTCTATTCCACTTAAGAAAGCCAGAAATTAAAGAAAGAAAATTAAATTAATGCATGTTTGAAAACATCTTGTCCTACTTGACTTCATTTTCTGGCTTGGAGGATGTCACTTGCCCAAGTTGGTGTTAGCATATATTGACTGACTCGTCGTTTATCCCAAGTAGGATAGAGAGGCCAAATCCGTAAACGTGATTTGAATTTACAGTTCGCACCTTGAGGTCGTTTTCTTAACTGGGTTAGTGGCTGAATCAACCATTTTGTCGATGTTTGATTTTGAACACTAACGACTCGCATGTGCAAAGTGTTAAAAGAGTTTTAAAAATTACACGTGATGGTTCCATGAGATTTGAATGTGGTGCTGAGAATATATATGTTGGATAAAAATATATAGAAGATTGGCAAAAGAGGTTTTTAAAGTGATTCGGATGCTTAAAGCGAATCCTACATCCATTGTTATTGTATTATTCTCTGCCTATTTCTATGATATTACCCGTAAAACATACAAAGATGGAGAAAAACTTTGTTTATAGAGAGAAATAATGAAGCTCAAAATCTATGCTTAGCTCTCATCTGTCCAGTCTCTCATTTTGTGAAGAGAAAAGTTAATTTATACACTTTTGAGGTCAATGTAATGAGTGTTTTGTAAGTTGCTTTGACACATAGACAGCTCTCATCCGTTCTTCTCTTAAAATGATATGGGTTGGTATAAGATATCTTTGAGGCGGTATAAGCTTGACAGGAAGTACAATTTTTCTTTTAGGCACTTCTTGAGTTGATATCAGCGTGACTTTTTAGGTATAACACCTTTAATCTGTTTATATATATACTGTATGGTGACGAAGAATCAAACTTACTCCGAAATGATTTACGTTTATAGTTCACACCTTGAGGCTGTTTTCTTAACTGGTTAGTGTCTAAATCGAGCCCTTGATTTGTTTACATATCATAATTGTATAGGGACAAAGAATCAAACTCACTTCAGAGTGATTTGAGTTTACAGTTCATACCTTGAAGTCATTCTCTTAACTGGGTTAGTACCTGAATTAGCCTCTTTAATTTGTTTATGCTATTTTGCATCTTTTTTTTTTGGTTGAAACACGATCAAACTTTTGTTTGAATCAACCCCTTTTATTTGTTTTTTCTAGTTTACATCTGTTTCATGGCTGGAGCAAGATCAAGTTGGTAGTATTGATTACAGGAAATAATGAGGTTAACTGATGAAAAACTGAGAAGGAAAATTTTCTGTATGAATATGTCACTATCAGTGGTGATGAAATGAAGTAGGGAAAGTGTATAAAAAAAGGGAAAACTCTTGGGGGCTACCAACCAAAGTCATCCATAACCATAAGTCATCTAAAAGTATAAATTAAGCTGCCAAATTTATGGTCATAGTTTCACCTGTTGAAACTTTTGTTTGCTGGCATTGCTTCTCTTTCTGGGGGATTGATAATGAAGGCCTATTTAGGTTTAGCATAAAGGATCATTTTCCAGAACGATGCTTTAAGCTAAATTAAGAACCAGTGCGACACGACAAAAGATTTTCATGAACTTTATAGGCTTAATTACCTTGACTAATTAGCATGCAGATCAAAATCAACAATTACCTCACAGTTCAGATCCATATTTTCTGCCATGTGAAACACAAGTCATATTGCTATTATTTTTAAAGGCAATAGTTGCCTGCAAAATTCTTTCCATTTCATGTTCATTTCAGTTTTCAAAAAGTATTAGATATGTTCAAGATCAAGATCAAAGTGATTGACACAAAACCTACGGCTCTGTGTGGATCTGTCTCTTGTTGAATTGAATTTTAAATGTGAAATACAGCTATTTTAACATCTAACTCAAGACTCACCTCAACAGAGCCTTAGTTTTATAAAAATTGTTTGAAAACTCACTAGGGAACACCCAAAGTTGCAATGAAGCTAACTGAATTGATTTCACCTAGCTTGAGAGTCATATTCAATCAGAGCTCCAGTTTCGACAAAGACAGTGAACCTTGGCTAGAGAAGCCATATAATCGTCAGACCTGAAACAAAAAAATGTACACAGTGAACAAATTAAGGCATATTTAAACAGCTTAAATACTGTGATGAATGTATTCTGGATTCCTACATTTGTCCATAAGGAGACTGACATGCAGCAAGAATGTGAACCTTCGCTTCATCTGCTTTCTTCTGCAAATAGAAAATCGCCGCATAAGTAAACATTTCCTTTAAACTGCGCAAATGCAACTTGAAAAAGAAAGATCCATTTCATATATTGTCCAATATTACCATAGAAATTTTGTCAAAACTGGATTTTCTTTTGTTGATTTGTCCTAAGTGACTATAGCGTTTGCATCTTACAAAGGAATTAAAAAGTTACTGGATTTTGCTTTTTATGGTAACCTCTTCCACAAACTTTTGTTGATACATCCTCATTGGCAGTGCTGTTGGCTAGATAAGAACTCTAGGTTACTATCCGTCTTCTTTTGAATATGAACCTTTGAATTATCGATCATAAACTTATATATTTCATCCAGGAAGTCAAAGAGTTTCACTTCAGTTTTCTTCCTGTGCCATTGTGATAGCAGCTGTAGTATTCACCAATATTGGTGTAAGTGGCTTTTAACGTGATTAGGATATATATATCAACAACTTTTGTATCTTCAAAAGGAAATATCATTAGCAAGTGAGACTGAAAATTCAACTCATTAAACAATGACTTCAAATGAACGCTACATGTATTGGGTTTGTGCAAGTTATACTGACATATCTGTCTTTGTTTTTCAGTGGATAATTGATGTTATTCAATATTAAAAGCTAATCAAGAAGTCAATTTTAGTCTACTTCTTGTAGATATGAGATTAGAGTACAAAAATTTGGAGTGTTTGTAAGCCATACCAAAACAAGAATATTGCTGGCAAGTCCATATATATAGCAAAAAAAGCATATTGAGGTTCAGCACATACCTGAGATTCATAATAAAGCCCAGCATATAAAGAGGCATAAAAGAACTCATTCTCCTGGCCATTTGAAAATGCAGCAACGAGCTATGCAGAAAAGATAACTGTCAGTCAACTGAAGATCTTGCAATAAATGGAACCACAAAGATTAATTTGCAATCTGAACATCACTGTAGCATATTATCAGTTTCTTACCTAATCATGAGTTTTGCAAGTTAGTAACGACCAGGATAAACATCCAGCTGCCAAATAAGTGGAAGCATCCAAATCTTACTGCCTACAGCTATAAACAAAACTCAAGGACTTTCGTACATAAACTACCACAAGTTTACAATTTATTCTCCCTATTAAACCCAATCTTGAGGCTGCAATGTGAAAATTTTCTTGAATTGTTGTTGGATACAGAGTAGTTAGGCTACGATTCACTTGGAAACCATATAAATCATCTTGGATTGGCTGACACAAGTATTCAACAACGACTTGAGGATGTATTAAAGGTGCATAAAGAAAACAATGGTTTTTATGACACAGCTCAGATGGGAATGTTGTAAAATGTATGTACATCAATAATTACCTTTTCTGGATCACCACCATCTTTGAACATGTTATAAGCTTCCCTCATGATGGGCCGAGGATCTCTACCGACCTGCATTCAGCTTTTAAACTTTTAGGTTCGTTGTATTCAGCATTTCTCTTGCAAAGATAATCCATATAAAGTCAGACATTTAGAAAGGCCCAGTGGTGAATATTCTGAATTGAACTCCAGAATAAACTGAGCTTATTCCTTAAAAGGATCATGTAACTTTCTAATTTATAAGTTCTTAAGAATATTCTCATTTCACTGGCAATCTCATCCTTCAGTGAACAGGCTTAGAAACAACTTGCCTCGAGGAATCGTTTCCGAGCTCCATCAACTCCATATAGTTGAGCTTCACAGAGAAAGCACCATATTGACTCCTCTGTATCATTTGGATTTTGAGCAACATCTAACCGGAACTGCTCTGCACCTTCTTCAAACCTGTTGAGATGGCAAAATTGAAATCAATATATTCACAACAATCTCAATTATAAACCATTCGATTGTACTTTAGTAGCTCCTTTTCTCTATATGCTATAAAAAGTTCAAATTCTAATAATCAAAATCTTATTACTCATCCTTTCCCACATTTTCCGGGCAACCAAACAACAAAGAAAGAAAGAACGAGACAAAAAATGTTAGTACCTATCAAGATAGTAAAGCGACAGTCCCCTTTGCCAAAGATCTA